CCTACAGGGCCGCGACAGTCTATCTACAGCCAGATGCATCCCTTATGCAGAGCACGGGACGAGAAAGGAGAATTACAATACTACCGTTTTAACTGATGTTTTCTTTCCCCTCTTAGGCAGAAGAAGAACAATTACACTGAGAAATTAAAAAAAAAAAAAAAAACGAACAAGATGGTATAAGTTTAGATACTGCAGCATCAAGCTAAAAATACAAATCAGCAAAGAGTTCTGAGATGGCAACAGTTTTCATTCACCGAGTTTGATCCAGATATGAACGAGTGATCTAGAAGCCAAAGCCCCCAAATATCCTATTTTCAGTTCCCTCTAGGTCTCTTCTGACAAGGAAGAAAGTATTGGAACTGAGGCCTCAGGCTGGGGGATTATTCCATTCTGCTGGAGTCACAAGATCTTTACTTATTCAGGTAAAAAAATATTGTTTTCCCGATAAATAGCATTTTTCTGTGTGTTTATACTGGCACCATGAAAGGGAACTGAAATTCCATCCTTCTATAGCATCTCTATATAAAACACGCCCTATATTTGACCACAGTTTGGCTACAGTATTTATTCTTCCATATCTGTCAGGTGGCTAAAGTTATATTACTGGGTTAACCCTTTAATTGCTGGAGTCTGCCACATGCACAGCAGAAACACTTGCACCTCTGCTCCAGTTAAACTTAGCGCAGTCACAGGGAGAGAAGACCCAATAACGCAAACTGTTCCTCATGTTGCCTTACTCGGGGTACCTGCCATTTCCCTACTGGCTTCTTAAAGGCTCAGGAAGACAAAATAAACTGGCAAGTAACCGATATGATTTAAAAAGCTGGGGATAGATAATTCAGGGGGCAGACTACAGGACAAAGCTCCTCTTTCAGCAAGCTGCGAAAAACGAAGCCACCCTGCTAGCGAGCAGGAGCGATCATTTGACAGTCAGGGACTTGTGGGAACGGAGTCCTCCTCCGTCCGTTCGTCAGCGAGCTGTTTTTCACACCTCGACTTTGCTGAGGATGCCAAGGCTCGTGAGGACACCAAACGATGCAAGAGGTGAATTCCCATCCAAGCCACCCTTAGCATCACCTCTGCAGCAGGTCCGGAGCCCAGGGGTTGCTGTTACAGTTTTTACATCTGTTCTAATGTTACGTACGTTACAAAGCTGCTTTACTGCTGACTTGCCTCATCTCTACGAGAACTGGCTGGAATCATCACCTGGACTGATCCCAAAAGCCTAATACCTGAAAAGCAGGGTGCAGTCTTTACTTACTCATCGCCTTCTGGGCAGATTCCTGTGGTCTCGTCATACTTGGTACAGTAAATGTCAGGGCTGTAGTTAAATGTACCATCCCGGCGGCGGATAGATCTGCGACGACGCTGGTTGACAAAGTGCCAGTGGAAGCAAGTGTAGGGCCGGTGCTGAGTGCACTTGTGCTGCACGAAGAGAGGGCACTGCTCCGTGCGGAACTCCTTCAGGTAACTGCAAGCAGAAATCCAACAGCAGGAGGTCAGGACCGGGATGCTGCTCAGAGGCAATACCCAACCACCCCGCAGAGCCCGGCCAAGCCCAGCCCGCATCCATCGCGGCGATGCCTCCTGTCCTTCCCACGCCCTCCCCTGCTTTCCCTCTCAATAGCGAGGCTGGAAGCTGCTGCTTGTCCGTAAGGGGCAGATATCAGCTACCAGGCCAGCGAACACAAACGTGAATGCTAATGATAGCTGAAATCACTTTCTTGTACCCTTGAAGAGGCTTTTCGTGAGCTTAGAAAACAGTTTGTGAGAAAAATAGTACCTTTCTATCCATTTCTATCTCTAAATATGAGACCTATCTGAGCAAAAAGGGGTTTCCTTCCTAAAAGATATGTGCTCGGTTTAAAAAAAAAAAACACCAAATAAAACACACTTCCATGTAGCCATGTTTAAAGCTTCAAGTTACTGAGAAAGATTTTTAAAAGATTCTTTTTCATGCCTCGTCCTCCTGGTTTAACTCGGCTTCTTCTTCAGTACATGGTCGACTATGAAATTAAAATTAATCAATTTCTCTCTTGGAATCTTGTGAACTCAGGACTCAGTCTTGAAACGCGAGATAACTATCCTCACACTCCTGCATGTTTATCTGCTTTATTTTAATATGTAATTCTCTGAAAGTACGTGTCTTCTTTTATCCTGAGAACTACAGAAGTCACAAGCTTTTATTTGTGACACTAATAACAGTCTCTAAACCCAGACTGTAGAGGATTACAAAATGGTTTAGATCAACATAATGATCTGACTGTGATCTGTGTGTAGGTGCTTACAAAATCCACGCTGCCTGAAACCCACTAGCTGCCCTGTATTTACAGGTACTATATAGATGATGTGTATTATATAGAAGATATGAACAGTTCAAGTAGCCGAGACCCGAATCCCACCGGGTTTGGTCTCAGAGACACCTCCAAGAGCAACACACAAGGCCCAGAGCAGGCAGGCGTGGGGTAACTGCATCCCACAACAAGTCACATTCTGGTCTCTTACATTTAAAGGTCAGTTTCAATAGCGAGTAACAAAATTTCTTGGTCAAAATAAAAGTGCTGGTGTTCTGCTGGAAGCAACAGGACGGTATAACAGCAGACAGGGCCTCATTTTAAACTGCTTAGGTACGCCGAGGGAATGAAACGGAGTATAGGAATTTGTCAAGTATTCATTCCCGTATCAGACAATCCTTCTGTCGTGTTTCTAAATAAATGGAAAGACGTCTGATGCCCAAAGATGTATTTACGGATATCATCATACTAGACTTGTTCTGAAAGCAACATCTGTAAATAAAGCCTCCTTTCCTCTTTACCCCTGGCTGAAAGGAAAGCCTCAGGAAAACGCACGGATTCAACCGAAGTGGTTTTATTTGTTTGCTATGAAGAGAGAATATCGTCGGCAAGAGCTTTCCTACATTGGCTTTTGCAAGCATGAACGGATAAAAGCTCTTCCTCCTCTTCAGCCTCCAAATACACGAGATTTGCAGGTTCCACTGCTTCGCATCGGCGACCGCTGGGGGCTGGAGGGCCTCCGCAGCCGGCTGTAAGCCCTTTTCAACCCAAGCCCATCTGTCCCCTGCAATCCAGCCTGGCTGGACCAGTATCTGCATTGGGGCCCAAGGCTTAACATCAGAAAAACCAGAGCCAGCGTGCAGAAACAGGTCTGTTTGGAGTAGGTGAGGGCTAACAGCATCGCTTTGTTCCTTTTCACTTTTAAAAAGCCGGCTTCGTTCAAATGGAGATCCCTGCTCCAACCACAGCAGCAATTCATCTGAAAAGTGAATGCTGCAATAAAATTAATCCATTCTTGAAAAGCTTTCTCAGCTGTTGGACCAAGTACAGTTGTAAAAGATGGAATTCCACAGATTATTTTATCTTATTAGCGCGCTAATAAGACTTAGAACAAAAGTGACTGTAACAACGTTTAGGTTAGAAAATGAATTAAGTGAACTTAAGCAGCACGATACCCAGACTGCCGTCCAGCAAAACCACGCAGTCGCCGGCCAGCCCCTTCCACCCAGGCACCTCACGTACGCCCTAGAGAGACGAGGTTTGTGTTACTCCCCTCTTACATATGGAGGAACTGCACAACAGCTGGCTACGTGCCCTGGCCAGTATCGTACGGCAACCGGAGCTGGCCACGGAAACCAAGAGCATTTAAACTCCTCCACCTTCCCTGAAGCGAGCCCTGGGCTCCGTTTGAAGAACAGCATCCTGAACCCCATCAATGCTCTGGAAACTAAGGGGCGATACCAGGCCTAAACAACCTGGGGATCAAGCCCAGCACTCCGGACTTCTAGTGACAGGCACGTGTGAAACGCTGTTAAAAACCCTAAAATTTAACAACTGCACGATCAGCCGAGCTGAAACAGCTTCCCTTTAGCAGGAGAGTTTAAAAATGTACACACTGACTGGGGAGTTGGGTCTCCGGAGCGTCAATTGTTGCTGAAGAGCATTAGAAAATTAATTGCATTTCATGATTGGCTAAACTCCCTGGAGAAACATTTATTATAATGTAAATGAGAGATAATTACATAAGTAAATGGTTCACCTGAAAAGTGTTTAACACCTAACTTGCTTCATCAGAAACTCATTCTTTAATGCCGTCTGTTAAATAAATGATCTCTCACTCTTAATTTCAAAGCAGGTCCTGCAAACAGGTACTGCTGAGCTCCGCACACCACATTAACCGTGCACGATCACCTCTGCAACAGACCCAACAGAGGGAAAGGAGCTGTCACATTAACTCAGTCATTTCAAGCCTTTCAATCACCGCTGTGGGTTTTTCTTTTTTTCAAGCCACTACAACATTTTACATCACCCTCCTCCACAATGGCCTGAATGGTAAATTGCCTTATAGCCCTTTATTTTCTTGATCCACGCAGCGAGTTTTGGCTCCTCTGGGAGAACATGGACCACTCAACCAGCCACTTTGTATTAAAATATATGAAAGGCATCTAAACCACATGTGTTTTGGGAACACAGAAAGGATACCCAGACCGCACCACCGCAACGTGATGGCTCACAAAGCAGAAAGCTATTAATATTTCAGTAGCCTCTTTGCAAAGGCTCTAAACAGAAGCGCAGAAAACACTGTCATGACAGATTCTTCTGGTGTCAATGGTCTCTATAAATTTTTTCCCAGAACAGCTGAGAAAAGGAATTTTTGAACGACCCTTGAAACTGAAAACACGTTGATAACCGGTACACATTTCACCGTGTGTCAGCCAACTGCTGCCTCTGTACAGGAAGAGGAAATCCAGCAATGATAACTTGCATTTCTCAACTCCTCTCTAAAGATTTCAGGAAACTCTACAGCCCCCACATGAGGGGCAGAAGAATTATTACCTCTGTTTTATGTAGGAGTTACTTCTGTATTTATTTAAAAAAAAAACAAAAACCAAAACATGAAACTCATCAGTTCTGTGTTGGTCTACTTGACACGCACTTTCTTTACATGCACATACTTTTGTACGCTGTATACGTCATATTTTCAAACCCATATATTTTTTTAAAAAGTGGAAAGCACGTAGCATGGGCTTCTTCTGATACTATATTAACATCAACACCCACATTCCTGGAAGAACTGTTATCATTTATGAGCCCTACTAAACAAAGACAAATGCAATTCTAAACAAACAGGACAAGACCAGCCAGAACAATGTAGATCAAAGTCCCCAGGCTGAATTGACCTTGCTGCCGAAGAGGATGGACGCTACTGGAAATGAAAGCTTATTTCACTAGGAAGCCAGGAGGAGAGGTTCTTAGACTACCTTTGGGAACTCCCAGAGTGACAGAGGCTGCAAAGTATTAGAAAAAAAAAAAACAAACAGTACTACTTTGCTGAAATTCCACTTCCTCTGGGGGCAGTAATTACTCTGCGCAAGAATTTACACTAGCGGGGAACTGCTCACTCTCTTTAATTGCTCGTAGCAGCCGGACTCTCCAGGGCAGGGCAGCAAGCGTTTACATCCGCAGCTAGTAATTGCAGCTAGTCCCCCCTCTGCGCCGGAGGAGTTGAGCGGCAACCTGCTTTGGGAGCTGCAGGAAAAAAGATGGGGGGGCGGGGGGGGGATTGGACTTCTGAACCCCCCGCCACAAAAAAAAAAAAACCACCAAACCTAGAAAGGAGGGGTGGGGGGAAGAAACCAAGAAGAAACTCTAACCTAGAAGCTTCATTTTTAAACTCAACACTGCAGCCATGTCCTTGTCCTGGTCCCATTCCCTGCCTGCTGCTGCACGGCTCTCTTGCTTTGCTGGAGCTTTACTGGTTTGGCTCTGTTCGCCCCCGGTGCGTTCAAGCGGCTCAGTACGGGAGGATACCTGCATCCGTACCGCGTTCCAGGGCCGCAAGCTTTCTGCCAAACTTGACATAAGTCACGCGTGCAGTGGCATGAGCTCAGTTCAGGAAAATGTGCTGGTAATGCATGAAGACAGCTGAGCTCTAAATTCCTCATTAAAAGCCCTACCCAAAGGTCCCCGAAATCACTGGAAGATGCACGCTGACGCCAAGAGAGAAGTCTCGCTTTGTAACAGAGGGATCAGGAAGACTGGGGAGAGAAACAATATCGAGGAGCATGGAAACAAAAGGATTAAAACCAACTCTTGCGAACCCTTGTTGCTCCCATAATGCAAAGCTGGGCCCTCCTTTGCTTCCAACACCCCTCCGCTATTTGAAATCTTTACGCAGGCCCCAAGATGAGCTCCTCTCCTTTGCAGCCCGCCTTGCTCCTCCCAGGCAATCCCCTTTCTGCCAAAATTCCTTTCGGGCCCAAAGAGGACGCAGAGGCTCATAAACAGGATCTGAATCTTTTGCAGCACTACGACACCAGGGAGAAAACCACTAGATAATTGTTTGGCTAATCCAGAGTAAGACACTGTCAGTAAATGTAGGACAATAGTGAGATCTAACACCACCGTCATCTCGATTTCGCATCCATGTGGGTGTGTGTTTACACCCATGTAACTGCTCCAGCACCCTTAGTAAAGGGCCGCGTTAAGTGACTGGTACCAGTGCTGTTTATCTGCTGTCAGACCAGTGTAAACTACAGACATCTTTTACGCTAGCGGGCAGGTCCACGCTCAAAGCCCCGGCCGCTGTCGGAGCGGCTCCGTCCCCGCGGCTGCTCCTCGGTCACAAGAAGCTAACCCCGAGAAGGCAGCCCAGGCCACGTTCAGGCAGCGCAGGCTCCGGTCGCTTCTGTGAAGTCCAGCCTGGTGTGGACACTTCACTATATTATTAGCACTAATATTAGGAATATTCGGTTCAGGGCTGTATAAAGATTCTTAGTACTAACCACTTTCCAAAAGAGCCCACAGAGGCAAATCTAACCAAGAAATCTGCAAATAGAGTGTTTGGTTGTGTGTTTGTTTTTTAAACCAAGGCTTAAGTTCCTGATAAGATTTCAGATACCAGGAAGAAAATGCTCTTCTGCCATTACCATTTATTTTAGCCGTGTCTCGTCTCAGCTGAGGATCACACTGGCAAAGATATAATTTAACTGGCATAAAAGCGCATGGGAACGCTGGGGGCTTTTGCTGGCACTTTTGTATCAGTCGCGTCCTGCCGTTTCAGACAGGACTGCGCGAGGCCATAGACCTCTTCGTACAGCTTCAGGTGGTCCCAGTTCACCTCGCTTGCAGACAGACACCCTTCCTGAATGCTGCAGTCTGAATGACAGAGGGCACTGCTCTCAGCTGCTGACCAGCTCTCCTCTGCTGGAAGCTCCTGCCGGCACTGATCTGTCCAGAGAGCAGGCTGGAGAAAGAAAGTTTTCCTAATTCAGTTTAGGGAAAAAAAAAATAAAAAAATAAAAAAAAAAATCACCAGCTTAGCTTTAAAGTTTGTATGAGTGGTTTGAGCTAACACAGAAAAAAAAAATATATCTGAAGTAAACCAGGGTGTGCTTACCCAACAGACTGCCTGCAAGGCAGGCAGCATTGCAAAACCCAGGAGAAAATATCTAACCGTAGACATAAATGTTTCTAATTCAATAATGCTATCTACTGGAAATATTTTCAAAACCTCTATTTTCTTCTTAAGCTCCAAGAGCCACCCCAACACAAGAGGAAAAGAGCCGTCCATATTTAATCAGCGCTCTAAATTCATTTCACCCTCATAAAATTTTATTGCAAAAGATGATATCGGACACACTTTAAGTAAGAAACCCATGACTCAATTATTTTCTTTTACTGAACTGTGGTATTCCAATTGAAATGAGTCAGTGGTGCATGACAGAATCTACTTATTCCAACAGGATACTCAATAAAAATCCTACTAATGCACCTTTCGTTTAACATATCATTACTGATAGAGAAAACCCATGATATGCAGCTCTGACACTGCTCAGGAGTTTTTGCTCTTAGGGCAAAGAAGATATTCCAGAGTAAGAGGAAAAAAAAAATTTAAAAAAATGGGGATTTAAAGAATAGTGTCATTCCAAAACGGATATTCTGGAACAGCTATTCAATTTCTCCGCATTGGCAATTCCCTATAACACCCTCACACAACTCTTGGCAAATCAACAGGGCTACTAGAAGGCTTGGCTTTTTCAGGACTCCCTCGGCATGGCGAGGAGCTCGGCAGGTTGCCTACCTTGGGGCTTTTATGGCTTCCAGTCACCACGGAGTCCAAACCATTTCCGAGAGAGGGTTTGATACCAGCATTCCCACGGCGTCTTATAAAATGCTGGCATTTCAATGCAAAACAAGCTTCCTGACGGGGAACATAGCCTTCAACTCCCAAGATTTCTTGGGATTTGGGAGAAAAAAGCAAAACAATCAATCTACCTTCAGAGGAGCTGTCGTCCCTTGTTCCCAGGGGTGGGCACGAGGCAGCCACATCCCTTAACCGGCAGCTGCAGACTAGCAGCAGCCTGCCTAAACCTCTGCAAGGAAACGCTCCGCATCCTTCTAATAAGAGCAGTAGTTAAGACAAGTCTGTTTCAATAAACAATATTTTTTACTTACTGGCAGGTGTAATCTGATATTGAAACAGGCTCACACAAATCAGGGCTGAATATCAAACAAACCCAAACACTTCTAGCAGCAATCTTGCAGGTTTTCAGCATGATTTCAGGAGAAGTTCTGACCAGGTTTTACCAGTGCTCTTTACCAGTTACTGTGGCTCACCACTATTGGAGATTTCCCCATTTTCCATATTTAATGGTATTTTTCTAAATAACCTCAGAGACCTGACCAAATCCTCACACTTTTGTATCAAGAAGAGCTTTTGCATACGCCATGCATCGCTTGACACAAAATGCAAACACCTCTCTCTCAGGACATCTCAACGACTATCAGTCTATTTGCCTTTCCATACCCTCAACAGCCAGGTGCAGTTTTGTAAACCTTGGAAAGATCAGAAAGCATTTAAACCTCAAAGAAAAAAATATATGGATCACTTTATAAAAACAAAAGGCTGACTGTGAATGTGGGTAAGGAGAAAAGGATGAGGAAAAAGTTTCAGTAAGCTCACATCTGTCAAGAAGATAGACTTCACATGCCTCAGTGTGTTCTTTATCACCTAAATAAATTGAACCATCAACTGGAAAAAGGTCACACAGCAGACAGCACCGTGTGATTTTAAAGCTGTTAGATTTCCCCTTCTCCATTAGAGCTTGACAATAATGTCAGTCTAAGGGCAAATAAAGAAAGTGAGAGTTGGAGAGACTTATTACAGATGCATGGAGTTGGGCTGGTTTGGTTGTGGAGGTTTTTTGTGTTTTAAGAGTTGCTATAACTCACCGTGTACCTTAGTGCTCAAAAAGACGACTGCTCACATCCATAGCCCATGGCTCCCCCGCTTTTTGCTACAGAAATAGGTAGGCAGCACTCACAAGTTTCCCTTCTTCTAGGCATCCGATCGCTTCAGCAAGTAAAGTTGAGCCGGATGCTTCCAAATAAATGCTAAAGGATAGCGTGTACTGCAGAAGCTAAAACACAAACCGCCAGATTACAGAAAACTCGGGATAACACACCACCAATTACAATAGTCATACTCAACAGTAATCTGATAGCTACTGTAACTCTATTTTTGGATTTCAAAGCAGATCATGGGGTGGACAACAACGCAAGTAATTCAATTCAACCGCGAGGACAGAACTATCTACTACCCATACTTTATAGATAAAAACTTTGACTGACTGCAAAAGCCCATGCTAAAAATAACACGCATTGGCAACTATCAGGAATGATCGGGACGTTTTTGCAATGAAAAGCAAAATGTCAGACAGAAACAGTTGTGTCTTGTCTATGCTGAAAAACTAAGGAGAAACAAAGAGAGAGATGCTACAGCACGGTGCCAGCCCATCACGGGAAGACAGCCTTGCACCCGTTTCAGGCAAAACATTGTTGGGTTTCCACAGTTATAGCAAAAATGGCTTTGAGAGAAATGCCATGTTGTAGCCAAGTAGCTCACCAACGCTCTGTCTTGATGAGGAAAGAAAATCGAGGCTTTCAACTCGGAGTTAACTCAATAAAACGAACATTTATCGCATTTGTGAACAGCCAAGACACGAGCCCCACCGGCTGACAATCGTCTTACAGTCCGCGGGCGTCGGGGGAAAGAGGTGCTCGTTCAGGCGTCCCTGGTGCTGTGCATCCCGTAGGTCGGGCATACGTCAAGTCCTGCCATTCAAACCCGACAAATAACACAATTGGAGTCATTTTTTTGGCGGTGTGCTCTCTTTAGAAAGCATAAACTTCTTGTGTCAGTGGACCATGACCAAGCCATACCAATAAAATCCACTTTAAACACAAGTGTTTGTTTACAGAGAGCTTTCACCTTTTTAATTAAAACAATCCAAGCACGGGCATATGCAAACACTTAACTGCACTACATTTCAGAGATGTTTCCTTAAAAGCCATTCAGCAAGACCCAGAACTCTGCATAAAGCCTTCAGTTTACATTTACATTTCCTTGAGTTTGCTCTCTTTTTTTCCCAAATTAGTTGGCCATGAATATGTATTACTTGACATGACCTCAAAATTAACTAAGCATTTAGACAGTTCAGGCAACGTTTTAAAAACACAGCCAATGTTTTTCTAAGTTCAAATGCGATATTTTCAGTTTGACACTGCTAGTTTATGTGAACAACGCAGCTGTGCCTCAAGTACACCTCCCTGTTTTAAAACATGGATCACCCCCAACTGAGACAACCCTCATCACCCTGTGGGTTGGTTTCTGCTCTACAAACTATTTAGCTGCCATTAATCCTTCCCTACAGCACCTGTGTAAGTGCCGAGTCTATGAAAACAGGATCATATTGAAATAATTATTTTTTCAATAACATGTGGGTTGAGCCTAACTGTTTCCGTGAAAATACTGGCGCTTACTGCACCCAGACAGCTGTACACTGTTGAAGGTTTACACCTGGTTTAATTGTCAGCACAATATATCAACATGTGCTTAAATACGAGCAGTTAAATATTTTACTACCAATTACTTTGCAAAAACATCCATCCACAGACTTGTCTATTACGGTCATTTATTCAGCTTATATCCGGATAAATTTTCTATCTTCTATTAACTGGCTGGGACAGATGATGCTTCTTTATCCTGGCGTTGGTGTCTGTAGCCTCAGACGCATGGAGAGGGTCTGCAGAAAGGCAGAGTTCGAATGGAGTTAACACGCATCAGGTTTGCTGCACTAGACTACGAGGAATTAATTAAGGGCTGAATAATACCCTGATGGCCTGCGCTGTAAAAATTGAAGTTCCAGCTTCCAGTGAAGCTGTGCCACACTGTACTTCTCCCACCAGCGATCCAATCGCTAACAGAGCCTACCCAGGGCGAGCAACTGTAGAAACACTAGTGAAGGCTGGGAACAGGGCTGGGCTGTTTTAAAACTTGTGTTACTCACTCTGCTAGTTCCCTAAAACAAAACATCCCACATGCAAGAATCCATAAAGGCTAATTCAGAAAAATATTATTTCCATACAAGCCATTACACAGCTCCGGGTTTCAGTTACAGACTTTTATGAAGCATTTTTAGGCAGCTAACCTTCAACGCCTTGCGGTGCTTCAGAAATAGAGCGCAGCAGCCTTCCTTCTCCTGACCACCCCAAGAACCCTCACGATTCAACAAACAGCTCGTAGACCAATTGCAGCCCCATACTCACAACAGCTTTAAGGCAGTACATGAACTGTATGAAGGTCTATACTTACGCTGGACCAAAACCAGAAAACCAAAGCTCCACCAGAACTGACGGATCTGTAGTGCTCTCATCCAGACCCATCTGCATTTGCAAATGAAACGGCATCTGCTTCTTCTCAGGTTAAGTGCCAACCAGATTTGCAGCAGCCTCTTTGGAAAGGCTTACATTTGTGAACAGGCATTTTCTGTTGTGAGTTTCAAACCAAACACAGTGATTATCTAACAAGCAGGAACCTGCATCCCATAACACATGCGCCAGCACAAAGATAAAAGCCAGCTTTTACTGGTTGACGTTGAAGAATCAATGCTAGCCATTCAATCGATTTTCTTGTCCGTTCAGCACTCAAATCAGACTTCATCCGCGTCTGCTACAGCCCAGCGGACTCTTTCGACGCTCCATAAGGCAGGCACACCTTGGAATAAAAGTCTTAGCGCACGGATGGACTGGTCCAAAGCAGCCCCGCCACAGGACCCCACGGCAGACGGCGCCTCAAACGGGTACGCTGACACCGAGATGCGTTCCAGCTCCCCACCAAGGGGAAAGCAGGCAAATCCCAGGCTCTCCCACAACTTCCCATGTCCCACTTTGACTAATCGATACGCGAATAAATCTGGTGGCACTCTCAAGATATTTTACATGTGCAAACAATATTTTTTATTGTTGTTGCTGTAAAGCTGCGCAACTGCCCTGAGGCATCTGCTGTTTTTATTTCTGCGATGATGGCAATATTCAAGCGCTATTAATGAAAGCTCACAGTCTATTGAAAATTAGAGGAGAAAAATCACCTCCGAGTGTATTGGGTGTGGACCGACAGCTTCTTTTTGAACTGTGGTGACATGCTGACGATAAAGGCTAACGAGTAAAACAATATTGACTTTAATTAAGTCAGATTTTTGCAGATATTCATCAGGTATAGTTTCAAGAAACTGTTTCCCTTTCCGTATGTTCACGACTGTTTATTAATCTAAAGAAATTCTGGGCGTACGATGATAAAGAGTAATCCAACCTTAATTTCTTAACTGTAATTAACAGTGCCATCATTCTTAATATCCAATATGCCCTACTGAAATGTTTTTGCAATTTTTGACGAACAGATAGCTGGGGATGGCCTAAGATTTTTCTTGTCTGACCACAAACTTGGTATACGTTTCTCTTCTGCCAGTGTTCTGACAACTATATCCAATTAAACGTCTCTGACTTTTAATAAGAGATAAGAATCAGGCCAGTATCAAGCATTTCAGTGCGCTAGCACTTTTATCGCTGTCGCTGCACTTTAACACTTAAAACCGAAATATTTCTTTCAAAGAAAACCTAGAACTTTTCTCGTCGTAACAATAAGCACCTAAACCTGAATGAACGCTACGGCAGGGTGAGGGCGTCTGAATGAGAAGACAGCCTGCAACAAAGCTAAGAAGAGAAGAAATTGTTGGTACTCATTTTAAGGGAACATTCATTCCAACTGATATTTCAAATGTCAAACTGGTATTAACTGCATCAAGCACTGATCAAAATACACAAGACGGAGATTGCTGAGGAAATTATCATCACAGGCATCTAAACTGGCTGTCATCCCGAGGTGGAGTTTGAGAAAGTACAAGCCTTTAGCATCTCCCCACGGACCCTTCTGGTGAGGCTTTGCATTTTTGATTGCCCCGATACAAAAGACAAACTATCTCTCAATAAAGGAGGGAAAAAAAGGTAGCTAAGAAATTGCACTTGCTCCCCAGCCTGCTGGCACGCGGCCATTCATTAATGTAGGACAGCAGGGGAACTCCTGGCTGGCTCCGTGCACGCACAGGGCACAGCTTTCAGCAACGACTTTGCACCCGATTTGCAAGCGATGTGCTGAATGTTACAAAAAGTTTACAAAGTCTTTATAAGATAGAAACCTCTGCGATTGTCTCCCTCCAGTAGTCCACCATTTCACCAAAATCTAGTTTAAGGAGTTTTTAAGGAGGGAGCTAACCGACACGATGTTAAAAAAAAGCAACAACAGTTAGACAAAAAATTCTTAGAAACGGTTCAGATGTCGGTGATGCCGTTCGGCAAAGGGACGGACCAGGTAACTTCTCAGCATCTCTTTCAGCCCCGTCTCCTGTGCTTTCATAAAGATTTATGAAGTTTTTAAAAAGCCAAAAGAAAAAGTTAACGGGAAGACCAAAACTCTACCTCGGCATCCTCTGAAAATGAACGTAGCTCTCAGGGTGCTGACAAGCAGGTTCTCACGAGCCCCGACACAGCAAGTTAAGACATAATTGCTCCAGCTCTTTATTTTGCTCCTCTCTCAGAAAGGGCAGCTCCTTACAGCAGGGTTACGAGAAGGGAGCGGGTGCCTGCTCTCCGGCGGCCCCAGTTCACAGCTGGGTATATTAACACAGCCTACCAGTGCGGTTAGCTCACGCCAGTATGCCTCACAGTAAGCGCGACGAGCTGATGCACTGACACATTCCCTCCTGCCACGTCGTTGCAGGGGCAGTGAGGGCCAGCAAACGGCGAGGCACAAATGCCGTACGCACTGCAGAAGATTTTCCAGAGGACGCTGGTCAGACCCTTTGTAACAAGGTGGCTGCACGTTTCAGCTGCTCACAGAAGTTAGAAAAACCTTATTCTGATGGTAAGAATAGATCTAAAGAAAAGAAAATACTGAATTCCAACAGAATTTTCCTTAAAATAAAGCTGCACAATATAAAAAAATGTTAGACAACACATAAACCCACAAAATGAGAAAAAATTATATGATAGAAGACCTCTAAGCTTTGAGGTTTTCTAAAAGAATTATTAATTTTAATTTTGTCTCCCACGCCACCAAAAACTGTCTTATATGCTCATGTAAGCAATGTATAAGCATTAACATAATACTTTTTTTTTTTAAATAAAAAAATGGAAAGAACCATTTTCCAAGTTGGAACAATTCTGCATGACTGAATCCCTCTCCTCTTTCAGAGAGTTTTGGATTTTTGAAATACCAAGCCCAGCCAAACCAAAACTAATTCTGAAAACATCAAAGCAGTACACGAAGCTTTTCACTCTGCAAAGTATTTATATGCCACCTATACAGCAGTTACCTGTATGTGAATTCCCTGCCACTTTTGACGTACAAAAATATTCCCTCGCTAAGCGTAAACGTAGCAAGCAAACCACAGCTCCAGTCCCACTCCAACAGAAGGGAGAAATACCTTACGGCCTCAGCACGGGCGCCGGTCAGCAGGACAGCGCGGTCCTGCACGGAGCCCGTACCGATGGGGCCAAAGGACCCCTGCCGCCCCCCAGCCCGCCTCTCAAGCCGCCCGCTTGCAACACTCATCCTTTGAAGCACCATAACATCCAGAGCGCTGTTTTTCAGCATTCGGCGGTAAGCACACCCTGCGAAGGCAGCCCTTCCTGTTCACGCTCCCGTACTTTATATTTCCAGCTTCCTCTAACTATTCACACTTCCTAATACCGGTTTGCAGTGGACTTG